AAGAAGTTAAACTGTGCCTGTTTGCAGATGACATGATATTGTACATAAAAAACCCTAAAGAATCCACTCCAAAACTACTAGATCTAATGTCTGAATTCAGCAAAGTTGCAGGATACAAAATTAACACACAGAAATCTGTTGCATTCCTATACACTAATGTTAAACTAGCAGAAAGAGAAATCAGGAAAACAATTCCATTCACAACTGCATCAAAAAGAATAAAATACCTAGGAATGAACCTAACCAAGGAAGTGAAAGATTTATACTCTGAAAACTACAAGACACTCATGAAAGAAATTAAAGAAGAAACCAATAAATGGAAACACAACCTGTGTTCCTGGATAAGAAATAATACTGTCAAAATGGCCACCCTGCCTACATCTATCTACAGATTCAGTGCAATCCCTATCAAAATACCAACAGCTTTCTTCAATGAACTAGAGCAAACACTTCTAAAATTTATATGGAACAACGAAAGATTCTGAATAGCCAAAGCAATCCTGAGAAGGAAGAATAAAGCAGGGGTGGAATTACACTCCCTGACTTCAAGCTCAACTACAAAGCCACAGTAACAAGACAATTTGGTACTGGCACAAGAACAGACCCATAGACCAATGGAACAGACTAGGGAGCCTTGATATAATCCCAAGCATATACAGTTAATTAATATACAATAAAGGAGCCATGGATATACAATGGGAAAATGACAGCCTCTTCAACAGCTGGTGTTGGCAAAACTGGACAGCTACATGTAAGAGAATTAAACTGGATTATTGTCTAACCCCATACAGAAACGTAAACTGAAAATGGATTAAAGACCTTAATGTAAGTCATGAAACCATAAAACTCTTAGAAAAAAACATAGGCAAAAATCTCTTGGACATAAACATGAGTGACTTCTTCATGAACATATCTCCCCAGGCAAGGGAAACAAAAGCAAAAATGAACATGTGGGACTATTTCAAACTAAAAAGCTTCTGTACAGCAAAGGACACCATCAATAGAACAAAAAGACCTCCTACAGTATGGGAGAATATATTCATAAATGACAGATCCGACAAGGGGTTGACATCCAAATTATATACAGAGCTCACACACCTCAACAAACAAAAAGCAAATAATCCAATTTTAAAAATGGGCAGAGGAGCTGAACAAACAGTTCTCCAAAGAAGAAACTCAGATGGCCAACAGGCAATGAAAAGATGCTCCACATTGCTAATTATCAGAGAAATGCAAATTAAAACCACAATGAGATATTCACACCAGTTAGGATAGCCAACATCCAGAAGACAAGGAACTACAAATGCTGGCGAGGAAGCGGAGAAAGGGGAACCCTCCTACATGGGCAGGAATGTAAATTAGTTCAACTATTGTGGAAAGCCGTATGGAGGGTCCTCAAAAAACTAAAAATAGGGATACTACTTGACCCAGGAAGTCCACTCCTAGGAATTTACCTGAAGAAAACAAGATCTCTGATTCAAAAAGACATATGCACCCCAATGTTTATCGCAGCACTGTTTACAATAGCCAGGATATGGAAGCAACCTAAGTGTCCATCAGTAGATGAATGGATAAAGAAGATGTGGTACATATACACATGGAATATTATTCAGCCATAAGAAGAAAACAAATCCTACCATTTGCAACAACATGGATGGAGCTAGAGGGTATTATGCTCAGTGACATAAGCCAGGTGGAGAAAGACAAATACCATATGATTTCACTTATTTGTGGAATATAAAAACATAGCAAAATGGAAGGAAAAGAACAGCACTAGACTCACAGACACTGAGAAGAGACCAGTGGTTACTAAGGGGTAGGGGAGAGGGTGGTGGTGGGGAACTGTTGAACCACTGTGATGTACATTTGATAAAATTAAGTAAAAAAAAAAAGTATCCAGGCTTCTGTTCCACAAACCCCCAATAGTGAGCCATCAAAACACCAGTTTTTGTCTGAGACTAGGAATCCTATTAGAGTTGTCCTTTCACAAGGATGGTCTATGATCTACTGCTTGTCCACTTTTTCCTTTAATCAGCATTTACTGAGTGTCACCCTGGGAGTCAGGCTTTGTGTTGGAAGCTAAGTGATATGACATGAATGATTTATGATCCCTTCCAAGTGAGCTCTCAACCTAGTGCTAATAGAAAGGTCTAATATGAGCCTCATAATGATAAGAGAATTTGACTAGAAGTCAAAAGAATTCTGTTGTCATGGAACCCCTTACTAGGTTCTTGGTTTTGACTCAATCCTTTGCCTCTTGGTGTCTTGACTTCTTAACCTGCAGAATTCAGGAGAATGGAATACATATATTTTTTTAACTTAAACTGGGCCCCCTGGGTAAGTTCACAGTTATCTGGAAGTTACCTGAAATTGTATGCAGAAGAACATAGTGTATCCCTCTTCTAGGAAGAGGTATTATAACTTTTTTTCAGATTCTGGGGTCTTACTGACCATAAGGAGTTAGAATAACTGAACCCAGTTTTTTTTATTAAGGTATGATTGATATACACTCTTATGAAGGTTTCACATGAAAAAACAATGTGGTTACTACATTTACCCATATCATCAAGTCCCCACTCATACCCCAATTCATTCACTGTCCATCAGTGCAGCAAGATGCCAGATTCACTATGTGCCTTCTCTGCGCTAAACTGTTCTCCCCGTGATCCCCCACACCACGTGTATTAAACTTAATACCCCTCAATCCCCTTCTCCCTCCCACCCCACCCACCCTCCCACACACCTCCCCTTCGGTAACCACTAGTTCATTCTTGGAGTCTGTGTGAACCCAGTTTTTAAATTTAATCTAAGGTCCCTTCCATTCTAACATTCCATCTCTACTATTCCATTATTTCAATAAGGATGAAAGAAACAGACTAGAGATCAAATATTCCACGACTCCAAGTACCATAAGAGTTCATTCCCTTTCCCAAGAGGACAAGGATTCAATTTTCCTACACGGAATTCTAGGTTTTTGATTTAATATCTGACCTCAGCTTTTATCTCTACTCCAGACCCCACCCACTCCCATCTAGCCCCCGTTTTTCTCCCATTCACGTGTGCCTTGGAATGCCACCTGGAATGCCCCTAACTCTACTGTTTTTCTTCTTGAGTCTCAGCTTAAGGTCCCCTCCCCAGGGAAGCCTTCCATGATCCCTTGTCCTTGCAACAGGGTTTGGTGTGCTCTCTTAATCCTGGATATCAAAGGTTAGCACATAGGGAATATGATTCTTGGTTTATTCAGGACAGCAAACCAGACTTTCCAAGGCCAGGCAGAGGAAGTAAAGGTTTGAAGCTAGTAGGTATAATGAACTCCAGGCCCTTGATTTCCCACCTCTGAGAAGAACACAGAAAAAAATAACAGTTCTAAGGAAAACAACAATCTGAGAGCAATAGTAAGTGAAAACAACATTCTGTTTCAGAGAATGAACAGGGAATGGTGAGGAATGAGGCCATCTACAACAGAGTATCTTATCTAATGTAAGGAGACTCTACTCAGTTCCAGATGATTGCTGACTGGCAGGAATGTGGGTTGGACCAGTGCGGCCAATCCAGCTGGACCACTTTCTTCAAGAAAAGCTGGAAATCTGGATGTACGTGTGATATCTCCCAATTTTTTTTATTTTGGTATCATTAATGTACAATTACATGAGCAACATTATGGTTACTAGACTCCTCCTATTATCAAGTCTCCACCACATACCCCATTACAGTCACTGTCCATTAGAGTAATAAGATGCTATAGAACACTACTTGTCTTCTCTGTTATATTGCCTTCCCTGTGTCCCCCCCAACTACATTATGATATCTCCCAATAACTAAAAATCAATGAAGACCCATTACAATAATTTTTTAAGGTTTTTCAGGCTAGAAACTGTTCTGTGAGGATCTACTCATAATAATCTAAGAGTACATCCTATGAGGGAGGCAGTTTTATATCAGGGTCACAGCCACATTGATGATTAATAAACAGGCCCACTCATTCTTCACAGAGCTCAAAGAGACTGCAAGAATCATACAAAACCTTTCACATAGGGCCCTTGTCTTTCTCTGGGCTTTAATTTCCCTATATGTAAACAGGGGATACAAATCATATTTGTGAGTCAGCTGTCAGAGAATAATATCACTTACCGAAGGTAAGGGCTGTCGATGCCATACACTTTTTACCAGCATCATCTTACTGAATTCTCATAACTTCTACGAGGTAAGTTCTATTACATCCACATTTTACAAATAAGAAGGTGGCTTAGAGACAAGTAATTTACCTAATGAAGACAATAGCAAACATTTAAAAAGCCCTTTCTTTCCAAGGGGTTTACTAATTTAATCCTGTCAACAACTCTGGCCTAAGAGAAATAAACCTTGCAATGGGGATTCCACCAAGGCAGCCTGACTCCAACATGGTAGCACAGTGTGTTCAACAGGAATATAATGTCAACAATATATGCAACTTAAGAATTTCTAGTAGCCACATCTAAAAAGTAAAATGACACAGATTAAATTAGTTTTAGTAATTTATTTGACCCGATGTATACAAAATATTATCAATCCAACATGTAATCAATATAAAAACTGAGGTATCTTACATTATCTTTTTCGTACTGAGTCCTGTGCGTATTTTACATTACAGCACATCCCAATTGCAACTAACCACATTTCAGTGGCTCAATGAGCACTTTGGCTAGTGGCCCCCATACGGGGCAACGCACTTAGTCTATTTACTAAGCCTAAAGTTATGAGCGGAACCCACAGTACAGCCTGTCCTTTGTTTTCAGAGGACACGCGAATAATAATAATGGCAAAGAGTTCTCGAGCATGTACTGTGTGCCTTGGGAGGGGCAAACTTTACTGTGTGTGGAGTATTTTAACGTTATATCTCGTCTTCCTTCCAATAAGGCGGGTGCTACCGCGCTCCTCTTTTGACGCAGCACGAAGACTTCCGGGAGTCGCACCCTCCCGCGAAGCCCGACAGCAACCACCATAGGCCAGGCGCCAGCGCCCGCGAGCCCGTTTCTCGCTAAGAAACGCTCAGGGTCAAGTAGGCGCGCACACAGGGGCAGGCGCAGGTCACCTGCATGCCGAAGCGATCAGAGTGGACGAGGACTGCTTTGGCCTTCTCCTCAGGCTCCTTAGACTCCTTCCCAGACTCCGACTCCAACCCCACTTCCTCCGGCTGGAACAGGTAAACTGAGGAGAGACCATCCAGAGCCCGGGGCACGCTTCCATGGGGTATCAGCACCGTTGCCGCCGCTGCCGCCGCCGCCGCCGCCGCCTCCTAACACGACTTGCTAGCGCGAGGGGGCGCCGCTTCCTGGAGCCACGTCTCGGCTTCCGGGCGCTCTAGTGCCTAGCTCATCACAGAAAGCCAGCGGGGACTTCCCCTTCCGGCCGGCTCCGGCGCTCAACTGGTGCAGGTCAGCTCGGCGTGCTCTCCGTATTATTGCGTCCGCCTTCCCCGTGGTAGCGCGGGAAACGCCTCCTCACCGCGCCGCGCGCAGACGCAGCGCTGAGGACCCAGAACAAAGAATGACCTGCAGAGCTGGAGTCATGGCGGCCGCGGAGCAGAACCTTGTCGTTCCTGGGGCCCCCGCTCAGCCGCGGGAGAAAGAGGAAGGAGCGGGCCTGAGCTTAGAGCCGGAGCGTAAGTCAGCGAGATCTTCGTCGACTCCTGAGGCCCCACCGCCTGCCCACGAGCCCTCCAACCCCAAGGCCGCGGTCCCCGAAGAGATCCCTACGCCTCCCGCGGCGGCCTCCGTGACCCCGGCGCTGCCCCTCGGGCCCGCTTCCCTGAGCCCTGCGCCGCTTCCCGAAGCCGCTCCGCGCTCCCCGCCAGGCCCTGGCTCCCGGCCCGGCCCGGAGACGTTCCGCCAGCGTTTCCGGCAATTCCGTTACCAAGATGCGGCAGGCCCACGGGAGGCGTTCCGGCAGCTGCGGGAGCTCTCCCGCCAGTGGCTGCGGCCCGACATCCGCACGAAGGAGCAGATCGTGGAGATGCTGGTGCACGAGCAGCTGCTTGCCATCATGCCCGAGGCGGCGCGGCCTCGTCGGCTTCCCCGCCGCCCCAATGCGCGCATCACTGGCTGAGCGGCGGAGCTGCGGCCGGCCGGGCCAGTAGCTCCCTGGACTGGAGCCATGATCGGGTCCCAGGGCCAGAGCTTGTCTTCCCATTCCGCGTTAATGAAAAACGAGTTTTGGCAGCCCCTGTAATCTGGTGTGTCCCTTTTGTCCCGTTAGTCCCCGAGTTTATTTTCCCGAGCCTGTTTTCGACCTTTCTGGCAGTGGCGAAACCAAATTGGGAGCCCGTGAGAATAAAGCTTGTTTCCTATTCAGTTGGCCTTCGTTGGGTTTTGTGGGGTCATTACGGGTTGGCTAGGCCTGGGCCGCCACCACATCTGGGAAATTTCCCTCCTGCGCGTTCTTGACTTGGGTTTCCTTTTGTGTGGTTGGGAGTCTATGTAAACGAGGGTTAGCAGCCTGGGTTCACACATTCGCCCCTACCTGTAACTGTAATTTCAACTTTTTTCTACCTGAGAAGATAGGTGATGGTGATACGTCTTGCCTCACAGGTGATTGTAGGATCGTGCAAATAGCTGCCTCAATTAAATGCTTAACCAGCAACCTCTATGCCAGTACTGCCATCACCTTGCTCCAGGAGCCTGCGCTTGGGCCCAAGCTATAGGGCTATTTTAGTGTTTTAGTGGAGTTCCTTACAAAGATGGACTCGTTCTTAAGTGTTTGTGAGCTCTGGTTTAAGCCTGTGTAGACTTCACCTCTTTCTTTGCCAAATTTTAGGCCTCTGGAATGATTTAAGCAGAACTGGTGTGAACTGATTATTTAGCATTGCTGGAGCTGTTAGTGTCTCCAGCTGTCTCCCTTTGTTTTTTTGATAAGCATAGTAGTTTAAAAGGGGGGCAGGGTGCAGCAGCCCAGTTTGAAAAAGACAGATGCACCCCATGTTTATCACAGCACTATTTACAATAGCCAAGAAATGGAAGAACCTAAATGTCCATCAGTAGATGGATAAAGAAGTGGTACATATACACAATGGAATACTATGCAGCCATAAGAAGAAAACAAATACTACCATTTGCAACAACATGGATGGAGCTAGAGGGTAATAGGCTCAGTGAAATAAGCCAGGAGGAAAAAGACAAGTACCAAATGATTTCACTCATTGTGGAGTATAACAGCAAAGCAAAAACTGAAGGAACAAAACAGCAGCAGAATCACAGAACCCAAGAAGGGATTAACAGTTACCAAAGGGAAAGGGACTGGGGAGAATGGGAGGGTAGGGAGGGACAAGAGTGGGGAAGAAGAAAGGGTATTATGATTAGCATGTATAATGTGGGGGGTGGGGGAAAGGGGAGGGCTGTGCAACACAGAAGACAAGTAGTGATTCTACAACTTACTATGCTGATGGACAGTGACTAATGGGGTTTGTGGGGGGGACTTAGTGGACAGCCTAGTAAACAATGTTCTTCATGTTATTGTAGATTAATGATTAAAAAAACGGGGGGGCAAGGACTTGGGCAAGAACCGACGGGCCCACAGGCAGTGTGGTTTGCAGAAGGTTCTTCATTGAAGTGGGTGCAATCGTTCAATGTAAGGAAGGCCAGATCTTCCTTTTCTGCACTGCTTTCAACAATCAAAATCCAGTAAGCCCATGCTCACACTACAAAGTGAGCCTGGCTGGACTAGAAACTAGTGTGGGGCATCTTTTGAATATTAAAGACACTTAGATGAATTCAAAAGTATTTTGCATACTTTATTGGAATTAGGATTTTGAGCTTGCACCTGCCCCTCAGCAGATGGTAAATGTTTAGAATGTAAATTTTGTCAATAAATTTTCCTTTAAAAGATGCTTATAGAAAATTAAATAATTCACCTTAAAAATAGAGTAGACAACTTTATAATTGAATTAACATGACTGAAACATAGCAACAAAAACCTGTTTTATTATTTCCAAATACAGATACAGAACTTTGCATGTTTTGCAAATATTGCTTCAAAGCAACATTTCTATATACAGCGCCTTCTGTTCTAATAGCGCGTAAACATATATATATCCACAGTGCAATGTTGGCTCATCAAGGGTCCACCTTGCATACACTCATCACTTCGAGAAACAATGATTATTCAAACCAGAACTGTTTTTATCAAAGGCAAATTTTTATAGTTGGATAGTTTTTCTCAAAAGAAAACTTAGGTAGTGTACATATTTCTAAATGATAACAGTAATATTTGCAAATGAGTTTCCAGTGCTCCAACTTGGGGTTAATTCAACTTGGCCCAGGAATTGGGGATGGAGCCCCTTAACATGGCTTTAAATTAGGGAAGCACACTGAGGTTATCAGAACTTGAAGTCATCCTGCTTTCCTAAAGACAAAAAATCACAACGAGTAAAATGGGATTATTTCCTTTTACAAAACTTAATAAACCCAATAATGGCCACTTGGCAAAATTAGGGTAACTCAGTTTCGGCTTAAATCTTTCAAAAAAGACAAGAGATTGACTACCTTAAAGTTACAGCTTCCCCAGATGTGGTGCTCAAATGTATTTTCAGGAAAGATCAGTAATCTAATAATACAAAAATCATCATACCTCAGTTGTGGCTACAGAAAATCATCCTGTTTCATTCCTTTCAGACAAGCATCACACAATTATTATAATGTGGCTGTCTGACAAATTATGCAAAACATAATGCTATGAACACTCCTTGAGCATGCCTTCCCACACCAGCAACACCAATGTTAGCAATGGGAGAAACGGCCTCTTGTAAAGGAATTGTGTCAGCATTATTATAGACGTCACAGCCACATGAATCCCGCTGATGGGTAAGCTACAGCAGGTCGAGTTGTCCTAAGTTCACTTTATGTCAAATGGTGCATGAATCATTAGAGAATTCCCTGAAACAGATCTTGGTATAGAGGCCTTCATGACCACACTGACCTGTGCCTTAAAGCTGGAAATACTGTCATTGCTACTGAGATATGGGCTACTTCACGTTTACATAGTAAATATTTGCAGCATATAACATTACAGATTCATAAACCCATAATTAACTTGTGAGTATTAATGGACAACTGTGCTTAGATTTTTGCCTTTAGCAATTAAGAAAATTACATGGTAAAACAGATCACTCCTCAAAGCATGGAACATTTTAACTTTGCCTAGTAAGGAAAAACAATATAGCAATTACACTTGGAACCATGACCTGCAAGAGTAACAAATATTCTCAAAAGGTACAAACTGTACCTGGACCTTAAGCAGCATAATCACCTTGATCTCACAAAATAATACAAACAGGATATTTAAAGTGTTAAAGTATATTAAAACAATTCTGAAAATTCCAACTACTGAACATACACACCCTTTAGGGAAGGAGAAAAGCGGCACATGTAGAATCTGAAGTTTGTTTACAACAATATAAAATAATTCCCCACACAATGTTCTTTGTAACAAATCTTTACAGTGAAAGAGTTCAAAATTTTGGGAAACATTTTTTGGACATTAAATAGAACTGGAAAGCTGTCAGTATTAAGAAGTGGATAGAAAATGCTGTCCTTTGGGTTCCAGACCCTGCCTGCTTCAGTTTGAAATTGCTCCTAGATTCTTTTAGTGAGATTGTAGTTCTTCCATAGGCAGTACAGGTTCTACTACAAAAGACACAACCCAGCCACCTCTGAAGTGAAAACATACAAAACTTGTCCCCAGGACCATGAACTGATGCAAGAGATGAGGTGAGAAAAGTGAAGAATCCTAGGGAGAAAACAGAGCAGCCAAGGCCTCTGCTCCTTCCCAATCGCCACAGAATGGTGAAGTAACGACATTCCCAAGTAGCTGGAAAAATGAGAATGATGCCTGCTGCTTACATCCATACCAGGCAGAAACCCAAAGTCTTGGCATGTGCCCCTACCTGACAGAAAAGTCAATTAAATAAGCTGCAAGTTGAATTTACAACTGCTTCCAACTAAACTTTTTTGGCTCTCATTCCATTTATCAGTGGCACGATTCCAAGTGAAGTTTGTGCAAAAAGACTCACTCTCCAAACAATGTGCACAGAGGAAGGTAATCCCAAGTCTATTTACTACCTCCTTGGTAGGCTTCGAGATCAGAGCACCCTGCCCTCCAGCAGCCAAAATGGCCTCTTTGTCCAATGTCCATCACACCCCCTGCCCAGATCCCTGAAGTCAGTTGGTGTCACGTGCATTCAGCATGCTAGATTTATTTGTTTAAATATGCAAAGCTCCTCCTGCAGGTGCCTCAGGATTGTGCCCCATCAGTTCTGGGTGCCCAGTTTCATGATGAGCAGCAGAGTGCGATCTGCTGCACTTTGCCCAGGTCCATCAGCAGCTGCTTGATGCAATGCTTGAGCTGCGGAAGTCTAGCCAGCGGCTCTGGGGGCTCCAGTTCCCCAGTATAGTCCAGCCAGCTCTCCAACACTGTAGGTAGAAGAGAGAGAAGACCCATGAGTTCCCAATACTTGATCTGAAAAAACATCAGCAAGAATTTCAGAACCTCATCCCATCTGACCACTCTTGGGGGGCAGGAAGGAGGGCCAAGGCAACACTGACTCATCAGCCTCTCTGCAAGTATTACCTCCTAGGACAAAGCTTAAAATGCTTTGGAGCAGTGCAGTCCAATAGAACTTTCTGCAATGATAGAAATGGTCTATGTGTTGTCTAATATAGTAACCACTAACCATATGTAGTTACTGAAGAACTGAATTTAAATTTTATTCAATTTTAATTCATTTAAATAGCTATATGTAGCTAATGANTTTTTATTAAGGTATGATTGATATACACTCTTATGAAGGTTTCACATGAAAAAACAATGTGGTTACTACATTTACCCATATCATCAAGTCCCCACTCATACCCCAATTCATTCACTGTCCATCAGTGCAGCAAGATGCCAGATTCACTATGTGCCTTCTCTGCGCTAAACTGTTCTCCCCGTGATCCCCCACACCACGTGTATTAAACTTAATACCCCTCAATCCCCTTCTCCCTCCCACCCCACCCACCCTCCCACACACCTCCCCTTCGGTAACCACTAGTTCATTCTTGGAGTCTGTGTGAACCCAGTTTTTAAATTTAATCTAAGGTCCCTTCCATTCTAACATTCCATCTCTACTATTCCATTATTTCAATAAGGATGAAAGAAACAGACTAGAGATCAAATATTCCACGACTCCAAGTACCATAAGAGTTCATTCCCTTTCCCAAGAGGACAAGGATTCAATTTTCCTACACGGAATTCTAGGTTTTTGATTTAATATCTGACCTCAGCTTTTATCTCTACTCCAGACCCCACCCACTCCCAT